TGGGTGACAGAGCAAGGCTCTGTCTCAAAAAAAAAAAAAAAAACCCAGAACCAATGAATTGTACATTTAAAAAAGGAAGAAGAAAAAAATCCAGAATGTCCTATGTGGCCACTTCCTGGGGCCTCAGTGAGTTCGTTTAAAAGGTGGGCTTAGGGAGACAGACGCCAGCCTGGAAGCAGACAGGAAGCCCCAGCCTTTCTGCTGTGGTCCGACTGGACTGACACCCTCATCACAGCAGGAGATCCCTGCAGGGTTGAGGCAGGAGGGTGACTGGGGTTAATCTTCATGGTAAGAGTGCATGTCTCTCTACATGAGAGCGAGTAGGGCCAGGGCAGAGGCACAGAGCAACCGAGACAGCAACTGGTCCAGGAGGCAGAATGGTGGAGGGTCGCGGGCAGGTGGGCTGTGCATCCTGGAGGTTGCCTGGAGAGAGCTTCCTGGTGAACTGGCCTGAAGAGAAGAATCACAGACCAATGGTGGTGCCATTTCTGGAGGTGGAGAAGGATGAGTGGAGGATCCAGCGGGGCTGGAAAGGAAATCAGGGGCTGTGTTTGGGACATGGCAGCGCTGAGATGTTATGAAGACAGCAAATGGATCTATGGACTGGCGGCCTTGGTGTTTAAGTGGGAAGCCCCCCCCCGCCCACCTACCCTACCTCTCAGGCCAGGCCACTAGGGATAAAACACACGCAGGTCCCTGGAGAGGAGGAATGCAGGGGACGGCGCCTCCTGGGCCCTCCTGGAGAACCTGTCCTTAAGTAGGCCGGGCAGAGGGAGAGCCCCTGCAGGCTAAGGGAGCGCTGCCCCCCACAGCAGCCCAGCTGTGCAGAGGCACCTTGGCGAGCGAGCGGTGTTTGTGTAGCACCGTCTTCGTGTTTGGGCAAGGAGCTGGAGGAACCCTGCCTGTCTCTACTGCACCCACTCACTGCAAATCCAGAGTCATTAGCTTCCAGGCTCTTGGTGTACCCCACATTGTTAAAGCCAGGGGTTCAGGGTGACTAGGAAGGACTGAGGGCAGGGATCAGGCTTGAAGAAACATGTTAAATCACTAAATAGTCTGATTCTAGCGGTGTCAAAGTCCCTTTGTGATCCAGTGAGTTGCTCCAAGCACACGCCGTCTGCCACTACAGGACGGAAGCCGGACAGGCAGCGTGACAGTGACCAGCTTCCCAGGCAGAAAGGTCCCACAGGGGTGCTGCACTGCCTTAGGTTTATTAAGCTGTGTCTGGGTCCACCACGTGACGTCTCTGCTCCCATGCCTAGGCTGCTAAAGGAAAAACACTAATTGAAAGGATGGTGTTAAATTTCCACAGGGTGAGTGCTGCCCGGCCATCCTGTTTTTCACCATCTTCCAGTGCATTCCCTTCTACGTCCACCTCAAACGCTCGACCCAGCACTTTGGGAGACTGAGGCAGGAGGACGGCTTGAGCCCAGGAGTTTCAGACTAGCCTGGGCAATATAGTGAGACTTCGTCTCTACAAAAAATAAACAAAAATGAGCCAGGCATGGTGGCACACACCTGTAGTCCCAGCTACTTGAGGGACTGAGGTGGGAGATCAGGGCTGCAGTGAGCTGCGACTGTGCCACTGTACTCCAGCCTAAGTGACAGAGTAAGACTCTGTCTCAAAAAAACAAAATTAGGTGAGTGCAACCTAAACTTCCTTCCGAAGCACTTACAGTGTGACTGTCTCCTTCCTCTCTCGCGTCCCAATCCCTCTCACCTGTCTTCCATCTCTCCTCTCCGGATTTGTTTCCACTCAACACATAACCCTGCAGAAACCTCTCACCTTTTAAAAAGCAAAACCCTACGGCCATGGCATCCCCTACCCACTTCTTGCCTCTTGCCAGCCTTGCTTCCTGAGAACTAGTCTATGCAGGCAGTGTTATCGTCCCCTCCCCCTGGTATTTTACAGTTCTATCACACAGACACATCGTTCAGAGCCAAGAGCTATATAAGACACCTACCAACGGGCCCCCTACATCTGCCAATTCCCCCTCCCAAAAGGGAACATTTAGAAATCCTTCTGAGTGTCTTGGTACGTGTTACGTGTCTCCGAATGATGGGCTTCTGCCTTCATTTTTCAGTTTCGGTCATTGTAACTGACTTCCTACCAGAGGCTGAGATTCAGCTCGTTCATTCTACATGCGCACAAAGCTCCTACCTGCAGTACACACCAGCCCTTATGAAGGTCACAAAGGCAGGTACACTCCACTAAGCTAGCGGGGAGGACAGTGAGAGGAGGTGTCAACGACAGTTCTCTCCTGTACAACTTGTTGCCTTCCAGAGGACTAATCATTGCCTTCCCCCACCCCCACCCACACCAGGCTACGTCCTGCACTCCATCACCCAGGCTGGAGTGCAGTGGTGCAATCATGGATCACAGCAGCCTCAGCCTCCCAAGTAGTTGGGAACAAGGCATGCGCCACCATACCTTATTTTTTGTAGAGATGGGGTCTGCCTATGTTGCCCAGGCTGGTCTTGAACTCCTGGGCTCAAACATTCCTCCTGCCTGAGCTTCCCAATGTGCTGTGATTACAGGTGTGAGCCATCACACCTGGCCAATGTGGGCCTATATTCACCCATTATCCTGGGCATTTAATGAGTCATTTCAATCCAGAAACCCTTGCCATCAGTTTCAGGTTATTTTCATCATTTAAAAAAAAACATTTCTCCCTTACTCTGTTGTCCATTTTCTCCTTCTGCAATTCCCATTTACAGATGCTCAACTTCTTAAATTGGTTCCCTACTTTTCTTTTGAGACAGGGTCTCGCTACGTCACCCAGGCTGGAGTGTGGTGGCATAATCTCGGCTCACTGCAACATCCACCTCCTGGACTCAAGCAATTCTCCTGCCTCAGCCTCCCAAGTAGCTGGGATCACAAGCACGAGCCACCACACCCAGCTCATTTTTGTATATTTTGTAGAGATGGGTTTTGCCATGTTGGCCAGGCTGGTCTTGAACTCCTGAGCTCAAAACAATCCACTGCCTCAGCCTTCCAAAGTGCTGGGATTATAGGTGTGAGCCACTGTGTCGAGCCTCTTAACTACTTTTCAATCTTTGTTTTTACTCTACTTTCTAGATTCTCAACTTATTCTTTTAACAATTCTACTGGGTTTCTTTCATACTTTTTTCTCCAAAATTTTTTTGCCTTTTTTTTTTGAGAGAGAGTCTCACCCTGCCTCCCGGGTTCAAGCAATTCTCCTTCCTCAGCCTCCCAAGTAGCTGGGATTACAGGGGCGCGCCACCATGCCTATCTAATTTTTCTATTTTTAGTAGAGATACGGTTTCACCACATTGGCCCTGGCTGGTCTCGAACTCCTGATCTCAGATGATCTACCCACCTCAGCCTCCCAAAGTGCTGTGATCACAGGCATGACCCACCACACCCAGCACCAAATATTCTTTTATATATATCTAACCTGCTACTCCACGGAATGCACTACCTCCTCTCATTCTATGAATGTATTAAAGATATTTAGATGTTTTCTTCTCCCTGTACAGACAGTTTGCTCCAAGCTGATTCTTCGGTTTTGACCTCTAGCCTTCAGCCGTCTTCAGATGTTTGATGATCCCGCCACCTCCAGGATCGCTGCTGCCTCCTTCCTGTTCTTTGCCCTTAAGAGTAAACACATACACACACACACACACACACACACACACACACACACACGAGAGAGAGAGAGAGAGAGAGAAAGAGAGAGAGAGGGAGAAACGTTTTACTGCCCTTATAGTATGGTTTCACAAAGAAACCATACTGAATATATACATCTTAGCCCTCAAATTTTTCACTCACATTTTAGACCACAGTGGTCGGCTTCTCACCTCATGGAAACTGATCAACTAACGTCAGCTGACCTTGACAGTTCCAGTTAAATACCTGTCCACCCTTGTTTTATTTGGTCTCTTTACTGCACTGGATGCTGAAGATCCCCTTTTCCTGAATTCCCTCCTGCCCAGACTCAGTGGTGCCCATCACAAGGCTCCTCTGACTGGCTGTTGTTCTTCTTAAACCCTCTTCCTCTCTTCACCCTACGCCTCGTGTCCACCAGCCTTGCTTCCCCGACCTCTGCTCTTCTCATTCTCTATACTCTTCTGGATTGACTCGGCAAAACCCTTCAAACTTCACCGCCACCTATACACTGACAACTCTAAAGTCCCCATGTCCTGCCAGGCTCTTTGCTGCAGGACAGATGTGTTCACCCAACCGCCTCCTGGATGGTTCCACTCAACATGTTGAAAATCAAACCGATCACTGCCTTTACACAAACCTGCTATAGCTTCCGTTTTCCCTGTCTCAATGAAGACAATCTCTATCACCGAGTCTTCCTATGAGGATCCCAGTCCTCCAGAAATCCTGCTGAGTCTACCTTCTAAACATCAAGAGCAGTTTTCCAAATGTAGTGTGCATCACCACCACTTGTCAGGCTTAAGCACCAACAGCTGGGCCTCAGCCCTAGAGTTTCTGATCCTCTAAGCCTGGGGTGGGGACTGAACATTTTTATTTTTCACAAGTTCCCCAATGATGTTGCTGCTGCTTGCTTTGAGAACCACTGATCCTTGCCTCCATTCCCCTCACCAGGCCCACAGGGACTGTGGTCCAGCCCATCTGAGGTCATTTCTTGCTGAAATTATGATCCTGTTAGCCTTGTAATTTATCTGACCTCCTTAAAACATCTTTTTTTTTTTTTTTTTTTTTTTTTTTTTTTTTTTTTT